CCTCCCAGGTTCAAGTGATTCTCCTGCTTCAGCCTCCCGAGTAGCTGGGATTACAGGCATGGACCACCATGTCAGGCTAATTCTTGTATTTTTAGTAGAGACGGGGTTTCACCATGTTAGCCAGGCTGGTTTCCAACTCCTGACCTCAAGTGATCTATCTGCCTCAGCCTACCAAAGTGCTGGGATTATAGGCATGAACCACCGCACCTGGCCTTAAATGTATGTATTAGAAAACAAGGAAGACCCAGATATTTAGCTCAAAAGAGGGTAAACGGCACTTTGGGAAGCAGAGGCAGGTGACTGCCTGAGCCCAGGAGATCGAAAACAGCTTGGACAATACAGTGAGACCCCATCCTAAAAAAAAAAAAAAAAAAAAACAAAAAATAATTTAAAAATAAAACGAGTAAAAGAACAGGGTAAACCAAAAAAAGTAAAGAATAGCAGAAATTAAAAACATGCAGTCTATCCCAACACAATGATCGAAAAAAAGAATAAACATTTCCACGCAAGAATATTTATGTAAAAGGAAAGCCATGATGACAAAAAAATTTTTGAGACGGAGTCCATTCTCAGTCGCTCAGGCTGGAGTGCAGTGGTGCGATCTCAGCTCACTGCAACCTCCGCCTCCTGGGTTCAAGCCATTCTCCCCTCAGCCTTCCGGGTAGCTGGGATTACAGCGCATGCCACCATGCCTGGCTAATTTTTGTATTTTTAGTGGAGACAAGGTCTCACCATGTTGGCCAGGCTGGTCTTGAACTCCTGACTTCAAATGACCTACCTGCCTTGGCCTCCTAAAGTGATGGGATTACGGGCGTGAGCCACCATGCCGGACCTATGACACTACTTAAAATGATGAAAAATGAGAAATATAAACATCTAATAATAACAGTGGAGTAAAAAAATGAATTGTGGTCCACTCCTACAGCAAATAACATGTAGTCAATAACATTAACGAAAAAAATGGAGAAAACACTCACTATGACGGCAAGAGAGAAAGCAAGATACCAAAATTATATTTACGGTATGACCTCATTTTTTTCCCAGAAAAATACAGCTTTATGATGTGTTATGAAAAAAAATGGGAGGAAATTAAAAAGTTAATGGTTTAATTTTTCTCTTTACTCTTTTGTTAAAAAAATAAAGAACATGAATTACTTTTTTTTTTTTTTAAGACAGGGTCTCTATCACCCAAAAAAAAGTGCAGTGGCACAATCATAGCTCACTGCAACCTCTACCTCCCAGGTTCAAAGGATCCTCCCATCTCAGCCTCCAGAGTAGCTGGGACTACAGGTGCGCCACCAGGCCCAGCTAATTTTTGTTATTTTTTTTTGAGATGAGGTCTCGCTATGTTGGACCAGGCTGGTCTCGAACTCCTGGACTTAAGCAATCCGCTCACCTCAGCCTCCCAAAGTGCTGGGATTACAGGTGTGAGCCACTGCATCCAGCCCCTACTTTCATAATCAGAAAGAAAACAAACCTGGTGTTAAAAAAACACTAAATACAATGAGAACAACAATAAAATAAGTTTGTTCACGCCTTCCACAAAAAAAAACCTTGGGATGCCCTGATCGTGGCTGAACTGGCTGACTTTCAAGCTCTAACTAAAAAAATAATTCTCTCGGGCTTCATCTTGACTTGCCCTCAGTCTGCCACAGATAATCTCTAGGAAGTGAAGGAAAGACATCTGATTTGCAGTTTCTGCCCTTCTTCCAGGACAGGGGAGTCCCCACCCGGTCCCTGCTCCCTGTCCCAGGCTCTGCGTCTGGTCTCTGGATAGACAGTAAACAGCAGCACCACCTCCTTACCTCCTTCAGTGACAGTTTTAAACCAGTCCAGCAGAAAAAAAAAACAGGTGTCATCTGCCACCGGCTGCCTGGGATCTACCAGAACAGCACAGAAAAAAAAGAGCAGCTGGGAGCATTCGGGGTCCATGGTGAGGCCGCAGTCCCTGCAAAGGCAATGTGAGACCCAAACCTCAATGCCCACTGCAGACCCAGCTCGTTCTAGTCACAGCAGCCCACCATGCCTGCTCAGGCCTGGGAAGAGGCCCCAGAGCTTTCATCTCAGACCAGGAGAACCATGATCCCCAGACCAGAGGTCTGTTCTGCAGGGATGGATCAAAGCTTTGGCCTAGAAAAAAACCCGAGCGCTGGTGCTGGGGCTGAAACGGGCAGATGAGAGTCTGGCTGAAATAAAAAAACCTCCAGAGCTGAAAGTCTGTCATCCTTGGGCTTTGGTGCAGTTGGGGCAGCAGCGTGGTGCTGGCCCAGGCTGCAGGTGGGCCAGAGTCAGGGGCATCTTCGAGTTCCGGAAAAAAACATGTGTGCAGGGGGATATCTATCCATGCCCCAGGGCCAATCTGGGCTGGAAAAAAAAAGTCCCTCCCAAAGTCAAGTGGTGGCTGCATTTGAGGTCGTAAAGCCAGCAGGAAAAAAAGGAGGGGAAGGGGCGACTGTCCGTGTCTGTCCCTCTCAGGGTCAGTGTTGGCTGCATTTGGCGTTCTACAGTCAGCAGGAGGGTGCAGAGGGGAAGGGGAGCCTGTCCTTGAAAAAAACCCTCCCAGGGTTAGTGTTGGCTGCATCTGACGTCCAGCAGCCGGCGGGGGGAAAAAAATTCGGCGGGGTGCGGGGGGCCCGGCGGGGTGCGGAGGGGAAGGGGCGCCTGTAAAAAAAAGGACGGGGTGTGAATCCGTGCGTCCGGCCTCGGGGGTGGGTGGGGTGGTCAGTGGCTCTGTCTGACCGGGGCATCGTCTGCCAAAGTCCGGGGAGGCTGCGTCCCCGGGAAGAGGAACCCTCCCAACACTTTGGAGTCGGTTTTGGCCGCGGGAGCCAGGCCCGAGGGTCCAGAAAGGGCGCCAGACCAGGCGGCCACAGTCGGGCTGGGAAGCGAGCGTAGGTCGCGTACACCCCGGGCTGGGCTGCTCCCTGGCCCTCCCGCCCCCTCGGCCGGGCCTTGGCCTCCCCACGCCCCGCTACCGCTACCGCGACCCCCAGGCTCCGCGCGCCTCACCGCTTGGTTCAAAAAAACGTCGCAACCACCCCTTCTCCAAGGCTCCGCCTCCGGACTGTGCCACCTGCCAAAAAAAGAGGAGGCGGAGGACGGAGACGGCTGGCGTGGGGAACCGAGACAGCTCTCCTAAAAAAACCTCTGGAAGCCTCGAGGGCTCACACTTGAAGGAAGGAGTTCAAGCTGAGAGAAAAAAACAGGCGCCAAGCCGGTCGCTCCGACTCATCATCCCCGCCAGGCACCCGATGGAAAAAAACGAGCATCCGGTGGGTGGGCGGGGCGTCCCGGGGGCGGGGAATCTCTGAGGAAAAAAAAGCGTTGTGTCCGGAGGGGCGGGGCCTCGCCTGCAGGGGCGCCCCGTGTGTGCAAAAAAAGGAGCGAGAAAACCACGTGCCGGAGAGAAGCGTCCCGATCTGTGCACCAAAGCCCTTGGTTATTTGGCTTAAGGTTCTCAAATTAGGTCCTCCGCGGCCGCCCTGTGGCTCATGCCTGTAATCCCAGCCTTTTAGGAGGCGCAGCTGGGACGATTGCTTGAAGCCAGGAGAAAAAAACAACCTAGGCAACAAAGCGAGACCCTATCTCTTACAATTAAAAAAAAAAAGCCGGGCGCGGTGCCTCACGCCTGTAATCCCAGCACTATGGGAGGCTGAGGCGGGTGGATCACGAGGTCAGGAGATCGAGACCATCCTGGCTAACACGGTGAAACCCTGTCTGTACTAAAAATACAAAACATTAGCCGGGCGTGGTGGCGGGCGCCTGTAGTCCCAGCTACTCGGGAGGCTGAGGCAGGAAAATGGCGTGAACCTGGGAGGTGGAGGTTGCAGTCAGCCGAGACCACGCCACTGCACTCCACCCTGGACGACAGAGTGAGACTCCATCTCAAAAAAAAAAAAAAGAAATGTGACATGGCACGTGTACATTAAATATGAGATTATCAGCAGGGTGTGACACACACCCCATAATTAAACGTATTAATAGCTATTCAGGGCCGGGTGCAGTGGCTCATGCCTGTAACTCAAGCACTTTGGGAGGCAGAGGTGGGCGAATCACGAGGTCAAGAGAGTGAGACCACCCTGGCCAAGGTGGTGAAACCCCGTCTCTACTAAAAATACAAAAATTAGCTGGGCGTGGTGGCATGCACCTGTAGTCCCAGCTACTCGGGGAGCTGAGTCAGGAGAATCGCTTGAATCCAGGAGGCAGAGGTTGCAGTGATCAGAGATCGCACCACTGCACTCCAGCCTGAGCCACAGAGCAAGACCCTGTCAAAAAAAATTTTTAAAGTTATTCGGTGAAACTCACTCATGTACACCCCGTGGAATAAATAAACGCTATAAATAGCCTCAGCTCAGAGTTTTCCTCCCGGAGAGTTGAGGTTAGGACTGGTCTGGCCTTCCAATAAGTTGTGAAAGTCTTTCGGAAGTTTATGGAATTCAGAATCACAGATGAAAGGTCATAGATAGGCACAGCTCTATAATTAGATAAGAGAAGGGCAAGAAGTTTGCGAAGCCCAAGAGTGGGAGAATGGCAAGAGGAGCTTATGCACAGGGAGCACGGAGAGCAAAGCTCCCTGGATGAGACCCTGAAAACAAACAAAAGTTTATTATGTGTGTTTGATTGAAGTAGGGTCTTGCTCTGTCGCCCAGGCTAGACTGCAGTGGTGCCATCATAGCTCACTGCAGCCTCGACCTCCTGGGCTCCAAGCGATCCTCCCACCTCAGCCTCCCGAGGAACTAGGACTATAGGATGCACCACCATGCCTGGCATTTTATTTATTTTATTTTATTATTTTTCGAGAGACGGGGTCTCGCTACATTGCCCAGGCTGGTATTAAACTCCTGGGCTCAGTTGAATCTCCCGCCTCAGGCTCCCAAAATGTTGGGATTACAGGCGCGAGCCCCAGTTCCCGGCCGGATTTTTCCCCCCCTTTCAGCCCAGCGCTCCGCCCCGGGAACTCCGGGAGCTCTCCTGGTCGGCCGGCCGGCGCCCGTGGACTCTGCGCACGCGCATGGTCGCCCCAGGGGGAAGCGCAGGTTGCGTACGGGCCGGGCGGGTCGGCGGCCTGGTTGCCATGGCAGCGGGGTCGCGGGCAGGCGCCAGGGAAGGCCCGGAGGCTGCAGGCGGCCAGGGCTGCCCGCGGAGCCCCAGACCCAGACGCCCGATCTTGCAGCCCTGAGGGGCGGCCGGGCAGCGCCGCCAGCATGTTCCTGGGCACCGGGGAACCGGCCTCGGAGACGGTAAGAACGGGCAAGGGGGCGGCGCCGGGCGGGCGTCCGCGAGGCCTCGGCTGGTCCCCGTCCCCCGCAGCCCTGGGGCCCCGCGCGGTGGCCGGTCCGGGGCGTGAGGACGGGGCGCACGGCCAGGTGACAGCTGCCATTATTGTTACCGCACAAGAGCGCGCTGCAGGCCCCCCGCCGCCTGCAGCCTCGCCCGCGCCCGCCTTCGCAGAGGCCGCCGCTTCCAGGAAGCTTTCCGGGAAGCCGCGCCATCGCCTCTGGGCGCCTGTGAGTCTGCGGCCCGCCGGTGACGGAGCTCACGGTGTAAGTGCCTCCGGGCACCCCCAGTCCAAGGCCGGATCCACGAATCCCATGTAGCCCCAAGCCGTCGGGGTGGGAGGGAGGCAGCCCAAGGGTCTGGGAACCCCGCTTGATCAGAGGAGGCCTCCTGGAGGAGGGTGGTGCCCGATGTACTCCCCAGGACGAGGGTGCACGGGCCCTCGGTTAGTTCCTTTGCCCGGTAAACACCTACTGTGTGTTAGAGACACCGGAATAAGCTGCATTCCACGGGGTTGGGGGTCTGAGGGACAGGGTGATAAACAGATAATTAAGATCGTGTCAGAAAGTGAGAAGTGCTGTGCAGAAAATGAAACAGGCCGTATGGCCGGGAGCTGTGGCTCAGGCAGGTAGTCCCTGCACTCTGGGAAGCCGAGGTGGGAGGATCGCTTGAGGCCAAGAGTTCCAGACCAGCCTGGGCAATGTAGCAAGACCCCATCTCTATAAAAAACATTAGCCGAGCTGTGATGGTGCCTGCCTGTAGTCCCAGCTACTCAGGAGGCTGAAGTGAGAGGATCGCTTGAGCCCAGGAGGTGGAGGCTACCCTGAACTGTGATCATACCATGGCCCTCCAGCCTGGGCCACAGAGTGAGGCCCTGTCTCAAAAAAAAAAAAAAAAAAAAAAAAAGAAAGCCCATTGGGATGCGGGCAAGGGCAGTGAACGGAAGATGGGCATGAGCCTGATTGTGGGGAATCCTGCTGCCCATGCAGGGAATTTGGATTTTATTGGAGAAACAGAGGAAGCCTTTGGAAGCCCATCGAGGGAACTGTGCTCACCTTGCTTCCTCCTAAGGAGACCACAGGGCTCAGCATAGGTGCACCTGCAGTAGCGGCTTGGTGCTGCTGGCCCATTTGGAGTAGCTGAATTTGCCTGCTTTTTCCCCAGGGCACCACGTCCAGTCTCATCTGGAGGGCCTGTCTACACTGGCCTTCAGTTACTGCTTCTTCATCTTTGAGAACAGAACTGCTTGTTGTGATTATTTCACACGTATTATTTATTTATTATTATTCTTTTAAGACAGAGTCTCTTGGCCGGGCGCGATGGTTCGTGCCTGTAATCCCAGCACTTTGGGAGGCCGAGACGGGCGGATCACGAGGTCAGGAGATCAAGACCATCTTAGCTAACATGGTGAAACCCGTCTCTACTGAAAATACAAAAAATTAGCCGGACGTGGTGGCCGGCGCCTGTAATCCCAGCTACTTGGGAGGCTGAGGCAGGAGAATGGTGTGAACCTGGGAGGCAGAGTTTGCAGTGAGCTGAGATCGCGCCACTGCACTCCAGCCTGGCAACAGAGACTCCCTCTCAAAAAAAAAAAAAAAAAAGACCAAGTCTCGCTCTGCTACCCAGGCTGGAGTGCAGTGGTGCCGTCTCGGATCACTGCAACCTCCGCCTCCCACGTTCAAGCAATTCTCATGCCTCAGCCTCCCTTGTAGCTGGGACTACAGGCCCCCACCACCACACCTGGCTAATTTTTGTATTTTTAGTAGAGATGGGGTTTCACTATGTTGGTCAGGCTGGTCTCTAACTCCTGACCTCAGGTGATCCACCCGCCTTGGCCTCCCGAAGTGTTGGGATTACAGGCGTGAGCCTTTGCTCCCGGGGCTATGTAGATCTTTAATTTCTTTCAACAATGGTTTATATTTTTCAATGTACAAAGTCTATGCTTTTGTTAAATTTATTCCTAAGCATTTTATGTTGTTTGATGTTATTGTATATTGAATTTTCTTAACTTCATTTCAGCTTATTTACTGCTCGTATTTACAATAATATTTTTATATGAATCTCATATCCTGCAAACTTGCTGAACTCATCTATTATGTTTACTAGTTTTTTAGTAGATTCATTAGGATTTTCTATGTATAAAATCATGTTGTCTGTGAAGAGATAGTTTTACTTCTTTTTTTTCAATCTGAATGTCTTTTATTTACTTTTCTCGCATTAATGTCCTGGCTAGAGACTCAAGTATAATTTGAATTGAAGTGGTGAGAAAGGACAGCCTTGTCTTGCTGCTGATATTAGAAGGGAAACATTCCATCTTCCTCCATTAAATATTGTGTTGCACTGGATTTGTGTAAATGCCATTTATTAGGTTGAGGAAATTCTCTTCATAGATGATTGAGTGTCTTTATCATGAATGAATGTTAGATTTTGTCAAATGTACCTTCTATATCTTTTAGAAAATCGTATGATTCTTTTTCTTCATTCTATTAATATGGTATATTATATTGGCTGATTTTTGTATGTGAAACCAATCTTTCGTTCTTGGTCTTGGGGGGTGGTGTGTGTGTGTGCGTGCATACATATATACCGTAACCAATTAGGGTGTATGTGTGTATATATGTGTGTGTGTGTGTGTGTATATATATGTGTGTATATGTGTATATATATATATTCCTTTTCATGCCTACTAGCATTTTGTTGAAGATTTCTGCAACTGTATTCATAAAGAGTGTTGGTCTGTAGTGTTCTTTTCTTGTGATATTTCTTTGTCTGCCTTTGGTATCAGGGTAATATAGGTCTCATAGAATGAATTGGGGAGCGTTCCCTTCTTTTCTTTTTTTTAGAAGAGTTTGTGAAGGATTGGTGTTAATTTCTCTTTAAATGTTTGATAGAATTCACCAGTGAGACCATGTGGTTCTGGGATTTTCCTTATTTCTATAAGGTCAGTTGTGAGGCCCCTCTTTCCCGCCCCCCCCCCCCGTATTTTGATAATTTCGTGTCTTTGGGTTTTTTTCTTGGCTAAAGGTTTGTCAGTTTTGTTGATCTTTTCAAAGAACCAACTTTTGGCTTCATTGATTTTTCTGTTGTTTCTATTCTGTATTTCATTTATTCACTAATTTTTATTCCTTTTACTTCGTTTGAGTTTAGTTTTCTGTCTTCTGGTTTTAAAGGTAGAAGTTTAGATTATTGGATTATTGCCTTGAGATCTTTCTTTTTTTTTTTTTTAATATAGGCATTTACAGTTCCAAATTACCCTCTAAACACAGCTTTTGTGTTTTGATTACTTGTTTTTGTTTTTCAGAGACAGAACCTCACTGTGTTATTGGTGCTAGAGAGCAGTGGGACAATCACAGCTCCCTGCAGCCTCAAACCCCGGGCTTGAGTGATCCTCCTGCCTCGGCCTCCCAAGTAGCTGGGACTACAGGCATGTGCCACCATGCCTGGCGAATTTTTTAATTGTTTGTAAACACTGGGTGTCACTATGTCACCCAGGCTGGTTTTGAACTTCTGGACTCAAGCAGTCCTCTCTCCTCAGCCTCCCAAAGTGTTGGGATTACAGGCATGAGCCACGGTGCTCAGCCTGCTTTTGTTTCTTTGCGGCTGGAGTGCAGTGGTGCCATCATGGCTCACTGCAGCCTCAACTTCCTGGGCCCAGGTGATTCTCCCACCTCAGTCTCCTGTGTAGTTGGGACCACAGACATGTACCATGATGCCCAGCTAATTTTTTGTAGTGTGTGTGTGTATATATAGGGTTTCTCCATGTTGCCCAGGCTGGTTTTGAACTCCTGGGCTTCAGATTACAGGCGTGAGCCACCACACCCGGCCCTGCTTTTGTTTTTAAGGTGGAAGATTAGGTTATTTATTTGATGTAATCTTTCAAAAATATAGACATTTACAGCTGTGTGTTTCTCTTTGAGCTCTGCTTTAGATATAACCCGTAAATTTTGATTTTTAAAATTCACTCATCAGCCGGGCACAGTGGCTCACGCCTGTAATCCCAGCACTTTGGGAGGCCGAGGTGAGCAGATCACAAGGTCAGGAGTTCAAGACCAGCCTGGCCAACATAGTGAAAGCGCATCTCTACTAAAAATACAAAAAAAAATTTGCCGGACATGGTAGTGTGCGCCTGTAGTCCCAGCTACTCAGAAAGCTAAAGCAGGAGAATTGCTTTAACCTGGGAGGCGGAGGTTGTGGTGAGCCAAGATCATGCCATTGTACCCCAGCCTGGGCAACAGAGCAAGACTTGGCCTCAACAAAAAAAAAAAAATTCACTCATCTCAGATATTTTTAAATTACCCTTGTGATTTCCTCTTAGACCCGTTGATTGTTTAGGAATTTGTTGTTTAAAATCCAGGCCAGGCACAGTGGCTCTCGCCTATAGTCCCAGCACTTTGGGAGGCTGAGGCGGGCTGATCAGCTGAGGTCAGGAGTTCGAGACCAGCCTGGCCAACATAGTGAATGAAACCCATTTCTACTAAAAATACAAAAATTAGCTGGGTGTGATGGCGGCACCTGTAATCCCAGCTACTCAGGAGGCTGAGGCAAGAGAATCGCTTGTACCTGGGAGGTAGAGGTGGCAGTGAGCCAAGATTACACCACTGCACTCTAGCCTGGGTGACAGAGCGAGATTCCGTTAAAAAAAAAAAAAAAACACTATACATTTGTGAATCCCTTTCTTTTGTTGATTTCTAATTTTCCTTGTTGTCAAAGAATATACTTTGATTTTCTCTTTTAATTCATTGAGGCTTTTTTGTGACCTATTGTCTGGTTTATGTTTAATGTACACTTGAGTAGAGTACGTATTCTGCTGTTGTTTGGTGGGGTGTTCTATAAACGTCTGTTAGGTTTTTAGTGTTTGCTGATCAAATCTTTCTAACTCCTCATTGATCTTCCGCCTTGCTGTTCTGTCTGTTAGGAACCTGGCCCTGCCAACACCTTGATTCTGGACTTCCAGCCTCCCAAACTGAGACACTTAATTTCGGTGTGAAGTCACCCCATTTCTTCTGTTACAGCCACCCTGACACAGGCTGAATGAGCTTAATCTAGCATGGAAATAAGTGGCAACCTCAGACAGTGCTTGAAGGAGGCAGAACAGATTGGCCGTTTTGTGTGTGTGCGTGTGTGTGCATGTGTATGCATGTGCTGTGTATGGTTGTATTCTGCTGATTAGAGGTGTGGATCCTTGGACTGTTGTGTGATTTCAGGTGCGTGTGTGTGTGTGTGCACGTTTGCGTGCGTGCATGTGTGTGTGCTGTGTATGGTTGTATTCTGCTGACTGGAGGCATGGATCCTTGGACTGTTGTGTGATTTCAGGTGCGTGCGTGTGTGTGTGCATGCGTGCGTGTGTGTGTGCATGCATGCGTGTGTGTGTGTGCTGTGTATGGTTGTATTCTGCTGACTGGAGTCGTGGATCCTTGGGCTGTGGTGTGATTTCTGGTCCTGACTGCGTTTCACCACTTCCCTGCACTACAACTGGCAGACTGGAGGCAGCACGGCTGGAAGGGAGTGGCGGAGAGGGCAGCCGTTGTGGGTGAGATCAATGCATTTTGTTTACTACACATAAAATCTCATTCCTTCATTGAATTTCAGGTCAATCAAAAAGTCTTCAAGATTTTCTTCACAGCGGGGAATAATGACAGATGTTTACAGAGAAAAGTTGCTGCTACTTTTTTAGACAGTTTTCAGCAGGTTCCCCTCCATCCTCTGCAGGCACATCCTTGTGATGCCCAGGGCTAACTTGGCTTTTCTGATCCCCCGCTAACCTGTGTGTCCAGTTCCCGGCCTGCCCTTCCTCAGTTTTGTACATAATTGTAATACACTTTGCTAAAGGAAAACTTCTCTCTATAATTGTCATGTGCTGTTTGTGCCTAAAAGGTCACCTATTTAATGATATAAAAAATGTCAGTCAGTGACTGATTTTTTTAAAGATTCCATTTATTTGGAATGCACCGTCTTCCCTTTGCCCCTCGAAATGCAGTCACACTGCACTTGTGCCCTGGCCTGTCTGTGTTCAGGGCACTGGATCACTCACTTGTGCCCTGACCTATCTGTGTTCAGGGCACCGGATGACTGCAGCTGCACCTTATCCGTGTATTCATGCAGCCAGATATTTCTCATAGTTTCACACTGCTAGCAAAATTGGCGCTTCAAGTACTATTAACCTTGTAGAAAATATGTTTGCTTTTCAGAATGCAGTAGCATCCCATTATGATACTACGCGGACTCAGCTATACCAGCGACAGGTGGCGGAAATGTCATCACCTCCTCCCTGAGCTGTAGCACTATTGGTTCATAATAGGGTATTCAGCTGTAACTTCCAGTGTCCGCATCGGAAAGCACCATACAATCTTCCGAGGGAGTTTAAACTTTTTTTTTTTTTTTTTTGAGATGGAGTCTTGCTCTGTTGCCCAGGCTGGACTACAGTGGCACAATCTCGGCTCACTGCAACCTCTGCCTCCTGGGTTCACACCATTCTCCTGCCTCAGCCTCCCGAGTAGCTGGGACTATAGGCGCCCGCCACCACGCCCAGCTAATTTTTTGTATTCTTTAGTAGAGACGGGGTTTCACTGTGTTAGCCAGGATGGTCTCGTAATCCGCCTGCCTTGGCCTCCTGAAGTGCTGGGATTACAGGCGTGAGCCACCGTGCCCAGCCGATTAAACATGTTACGCTTTCTCTTTTTGGATTTCAATTTGAGTGAGTAAGTTAATACAGAAACATTTTTGTCTTCAAAAAGCTTCCTGTTTTGTTTTGTTTTTGTTTTGTTTTTTTGCCGTCTTAGTGCTGACATCAGACAGTGCAAATTTTATTTCATTCCCTGGGCCAGGACAAAGTCACTGGAATAAGAAGGCAAGAACCTGTATAGGCCCAAATGCCTTCTCGTTGTAATGCATATGTTTTTGTTTTTGTTGGTTTGGGGTTTTTTTTGTTTGTTTTTTTTTTTTTTTTGAGCTGGGGTCTTGCTCTGTTGCCAAGGCTGTAGGCGTGGTCATGGCTCACTGCAACCTCGACTTCCTGGGCTCAAGCAATCCTCTCACCTCAGCCTCCCGAGTAGCTGGGACTACAGGTGTGTGCAACCACAGCCTGGCTTATTTTTTAAATTTTTAAGATTTTTTTGTAGAGAGTGTCTCGCCATGTTGCCCAGGCCGAGTTTGCTTTTTAAAAGATGACTCTGACCAGTTCTTACCAGGAGACAGTCACAGATTTGTTGTGCTTTGATGTAAAGATGAATAAGAGTGAGAACATGTATGTGAAAATGAAATGCTTTCGGCAAGAACTGGTTTTTTTTTTTTTCTTTGTCAAGACACAATTCTGTGGGAAATAGTGTTCCTGGATTTGCAGACATTTGCACGCCTTCTGGGCGGCGTTCTGTGTTTCTTCCCCCCACCCACCCATTCCTTCTGATGAGACTGAGGAACTGGCCGCTGCCCAGCTGGAGTGTTCCGAGTGGCCTTGGAGCTGGATTTCTGGAGTTTCTGTTTCCGCAGCTGTGGACGGGCTGTTTTCACTTTTGTAAACGTGACTGTTGGAAGCCCAGCAGGTGCCGTCGAGTTACAGTGTTTGCCTCTCTTCCTCCAGGGAGATGACAGTCTGTCTGCAGTCACCTTTGACTCTGACGTGGAGACGGTGAGTGCCGCTGGGCATCAGCCGTGTGCCCCAGGGCTGGTGGTGCTGCCCTTGCAGATTTCACTCAGACTGGTAAAATGGGCCATTCTCCACAATACTGTGTTGAGAGCTGGAATGCATATTCCAAATGCTACTTGGTGTTTGAAAAGTTTCCAGCCCTTCGTTGGGTTTAAATACCTGTGGTGATAACTTTACAACTTTTATCCGGAAGTGAATCTTGAGCAGGGCTCACGTGAGGTGGATTGCTGGTCCCTGGCCTGCAGCTGGTTTTGCCCTGCCCCCCACACCCCCATCCTGACACTTGAGGGGAGGAGGAGAGCCCCTGCTAATCTGTTGGAAGGACCTGATGGGAGAAAGCAGAACTGGGCAGCCACCATCCCAAGCTGAGCCGCTGCCTGGCCTCCCAGCCTGGAAGGGAGAGGGGCAGGAGTGGTGTCTGATGGCCCAGTGGCACTCTGTGGCCCCGGCCTGGACTTTGGGTTTGTTTGGCAAGCTGTGCAGGGTAGAAAAGGAAGCGTGCCAATTGTTCCCGTATGAGCAAAAAAAAGCTTTTGTTACTGCAGACGCAGATCTAGCAGAACTGCAGCCGTTTTGTTACTGCAGATGCAGATCTAGCAAAACTGCAGCCGGCAGAACGAACCCGGTGCCAGCCGATCTCGATTCCACGTTTGCTCTGTGGACTCAAGGGGGAGCCTCAGCTCCACTGTCTCCCTCCAGGGACCTCTGTCTGCAGAGTTAAGGATTTTTCACTCCATGTCACCGAGGGCAGGGGATGCTCCCCTGATGCTCCCCGGAGGAGGAGGGATCCAGACCAAGCCCCGGGGAAAATTGCCCCCGCACAGAGCCTGGGCTCACTGTTTCTGCTGGAGGGGAAGTGAAGAGACCTGGCCGCGGTACCCTTACCTGTTCGGTCTAGTGCAAGGTGATAAGGAAGTTAAGGTTGGAAGTGTGGCAGCATCTTCCCCAGGCCATGGCATGACAGGTTGAGTGTCTCTAATCCAAAATCCAAAATGCTCCAAAAATGGAAACTTTTTGAGCACCCTCATGAGGCCACAAGTGGGAAATTCCACACTTCAGTTACTTCACACAAGCTTTGTTTCATGCCCAAAGTTATTAAAAACACAATCTAAAGTTAGTTTTGCGCTATGGGTATAAGGTATACATGAAATATAAATGAATTTTGTGTTTAGACTTGGGTCCCATCCCCATACCTCATTATATGGATGTAAATATTCCCAAATCTGAAACACTCTTGGTCCCAAGCATTTCAGATATGGGACACTCACCTGGTAGTAAGCAGTGGAACCAGATCTGGACCCCATTCTGTGTGTGTCACAGGAAACCATCTTCCAGACAGGGTCTGCCTTTGCTGGGCCTTCTTCCTTAGTGGGCTTTGCAGTTGACTTACATGCAGGGATTTCATCTCACCACCTCACCCGAGTGGACAGAGGTGCACGCTGGGGCTCCCAGGCTGGCTGTGCGGGCAGTTTGGGTGGGGGCAGATATGCCATTTGTGTGGGACCCTCAGTCTGAACGCCCAGGCCCAGTGGTTTTCTGTCATTGGAACTTGTGCTCTGAGAGCCTAGCCCCGAGCACTGATGTGAGTGCATTTTTCTGGGGTCTGCGTCGGGCCCTGCATGTCCTGTGCCTGGACCCTCCTTACGTCCCCGTGAGCTAATGTCCTCTTGCTGCTCTTACACGACCCCTGACCGTTTCTGAACATGGCAGGGTCTTGTGACGCACCATTGTGGGAGCTCAGCAAGCCTTACGCCATTTCTTCTTTCTTTCAGAAAGCAAAAAGGAAAGCTTTCCACAAACCTCCACCCACATCGCCAAGTAAGTATGACCGGCCTGCCTTCCCTCTCATGCCTACGTTCCCTGGTGTCCTGGAGAGAAGGAAGGGTGTTTGCTTTGTACATTTAGGTAGCTGAGACCTGACGCCTCAGCCAGGTGGCCCCATTCCCTCTGGGGTCTCCCAGTTTGCGCTGGGGTCTCCCCCATTCATGTTGGGGTTCACGCTGGGGTCTCAGGAGCACGTGGAGTCCCTGCCGGTGCCAGTGACAAGCCCTTTCTCAGGGCTGAGGCTGCCATCCACACCCCCAGCCTTCCTCCGACAGGGCCTCTAGGCCTTTCGTTTTCTTTTTCTTGCCTTCTCAAAGGCTTACCTCTTCTGAATGCTGCCAGAGTTAAAGGATTTTTGACCTGGGATTTGTTCCTGAGAGTCAAAGCTACTGAGAAGGTGTAGTTGGTGCAGGATGGGTGGAAAGTTCACCTTTTTTCCCTTTGGATCGCCCTGGGCTTGTGTTGCTGCCAGGGTTCTGTTCTTCCTCACCCTCAGTGGGAGGAGGGCCGTGTTTGCCCCCTGCCTGTGTGGAGGATGCCGCGGAGATGGGGTTAGTCCAGGTGGCCCCAAGGCCCCTCTGTCCCTAACGCCGCTCTCGTGTACAGCAGCCCATGTGCCGACCTCGTGTGTACAAACATGTTCGTGATCCTGTAAATCCTAGGCCGGCGTCCTGTGCTGCCCCAAAGGCTGTGGCCTTCCCTGGCTGTGCCATCTGCAGATGTCTATTTTATATACACGTATCAGGTATTTCAAAGGTTGAGTCAAGTGTATGACGTACTCAGAGAATATAAAAAAACTTTCCTGCTGGCCCAAGGAAACCGTAATTAGAAAGGTAAATCCCTGCAAAGAAAAGAATGCATGTTATATGTTGCAAATCAGTATGAACACTAGAAGGAAATCACCTAGCATTTTGGATTTTTGATGTTCTTTCTCTCCTTCCATGGAGAAAATTGAGAATTGATATAAAGTAAAAGGCCAGGACCAGGGGTGCCTCCTGACTCACACTTGGGGCCTGTTTTTCTCCAGATTTCCGGTGCCGTGAGTGTAGGGACCATGTCTGTCCTGTTCACTCAGCCAGTGTTTTTCTTGAAGGCCTGGTCAATCTGCTTGTAGGTTTGCAGCTTCCACCGCGTTCCGAGGCTTTGCATCGTCCTGGTCACCCTGCGAGGAGGGCAAGGCAGGCGATGATGTTTTTGTGCTTTCTGAGTTTGTCGTTTTCCGGGCAGTATCAAACGTTGGCATGTCTCCACCACCCTGTCGCCGTCTTCTCTTCCTCCCTCCCCGCTTTTATCCGCGTGCATACGTGCTTTCCTGAGGAACCCTTCCTACTGGCCGATAAACCCACACACTCTTAGGAGGGAAAGGTAATGCGTGGGGCTTTTTTCCGCTCACTCATTTACTTGTATAAATGACAACTTAATCTTTACATTTTGGAAGAACTTGAGAATATCTCGGAGGCGAGGTTCTGTGGTCCTGGGGTGAGTGAAGACGCATCAGGGTCCCTGCGCCTTTATTCCCTCATTCAGAGTTACAGTGGCAAATTTCCCATACATTGTGAAACCACGGGAAAAACGTAGAAATTTAAACATTTTGAACATATTAGACTTAAATTTTTAGAACCTACTGACATAAATTTTGCAATTTAAGATATGTAAGAATGTTTTAAGAGTGCCTTAGTTTTTGCAAATGTTTATTATTTTTTTATACTTAAAGAGGTAAAATCTCAGATAAAGATTTTAAAACATTTCCCTTACTTTCATACAAAATCAAGAATGCTCTGAAAAAGTATAATTTTTCTCATTTCTTTTAGATATTTTACATATTAAGTTCTAAATATTGCTTTGTTACTATGTAATGACATTAAACATTTACAATGTTAAATAAAAAGGATACAAAATTGTATGTTCACTATGATTGTGACTATGTAAAAACATATATATATCTCTAAAAATTGGGAGTAAGAAATTAAATACTATAATAAATATTGGTAGAATTCATATATTTCCCGTTATATTCTTCCCATTACGTTCTGTTCTTTTCTCTTTTCTTTTCTTTCTTTCGAGAAAGAAAAGCCTGTTACTCAGGCTGGAATGCAGTAGTGTGATCACAGCTCACTGTAGCCTCCTGGGCTCAAGAGATCCTCCTGCCGTAGCCCCCTTGAGTAGCTGGGACCACAGGTGTGAGCCACCGCACTTAGCTGATTTTTAGATTTTTTGTGGAGACAGGGTCTTGTTGTGTTGCCCAGGCTGGTCTTGAATTCCTCGTCTCAAGTGATCCTCCTGCCTTAGCCTCCCAAGGTATTGGTGTTACAGGCATGAGCCACCATGCCTGGCCCCGTTATACTATTTCTTTATAATAAAAGTTGGAGGAGAAATGTCAGCGTGTAGGTAAAGTAACTCTTTTTGAATTTTTTTTTTTTTTTTTTTTTTTGAGACGGAGTCTCGCTCTGTCCCCCAGGCTGGAGTGCAGTGGCCGGATCTCGGCTCACTGCAAGCTCCGCCTCCTGGGTTCACGCCATTCTCCTGCCTCAGCCTCCCCAGTAGCTGGGACTACAGGCGCCCGCCACCTCGCCCGGCTAGTTTTTTTTTTGTATTTTTTAGTAGAGACGGGGTTTCACCGTGTTAGCCAGGATGGTCTCGATCTCCTGACCTCGTGATCCACCCATCTCGGCCTCCCAAAGTGCTGGGATTACAGGCTTGAGCCACCGCGCCTGGCTCTTTTTGAATTTTTGCCGGAATGTTTGACTAGAGTCCCCGCCCTCACGGATGTTTTATTTTCCCCTTTCTGTCTTTCTGAAGCTCGTGTGTTGAGCTCACGCGTTGCTCTCGGGCACCTCTGAATCCATGTGTTGGCTTTTCTAGAGTCACCTTATCTCTCTAAGCCGAGAAAAGTGGCCTCCTGGAGGTCCCTCAGGACAGCAGGGAGCATGCCTCTGGGTGGCCGAGCGTCCCTGACCCCGCAGAAGCTGTGGCTGGGAACTGCAAAACCAGGTATGTGGTTGCCACACTGGAGGCCCTTCCTGCTTCAGAGAAGAGTTCAAGAAATTTCAGGGAGGGGTTTGAGATGGAGCTTTTAATATTCCTTGTTTGAATTATATTGTCTTTAATTTTCTCCAAGACACTGAATATTTTTTTATGTCATGCACAAACGTGGTTTCGCCAAGTGGCACTTTAGCCTCCCTTGGCCCCGTGTGGTCTCTGTGTGGGAGTGGTGAGTTGGAGCCGGTTCCGGCCGTCTTGCCAGAGCCAACTGTTACAGTCTTAGGAGTTTGGTGGGCTGGTCAGTGCCATGCTGGCTACTTGATATTAGACATGGTAGAAATATTTCTACTGTGGAAATAGGCAACTACTGTAATCAGGACTTTATTAATGTATATTTGGGAGCCGGTTATTAACCATTTACCAGCACACCACTGACGGCTGGTGTCTACCAGTGATTGAGCTTTCTTCAATCCAGGAAAGTTGATTAGAAACAAAACCTTCCATTGTGTGTGTTTGTACCTGTCATGTTAAACCCATGCACATTCAAACCAGGAAGTCTGACCCCGGCCCTGAACTCACCCCTCACCTGGGAGCATGCGTGGACCGGCGTCCCCAGCGGCACTCCCGACTGTCTGACAGACGCCCTCAGAGTGAAGAGGCCACATCTCAGGCGCTCTGCCAGCAACGGTGAGCATGCCAGTGGTGGCAAGGCCGAGGCCAAGGAAGAACAGGAAGGAAAGGACAGTCTCTGGGCTGGAGGCGTCCTTCGTCAGAGCGGGATTTCAGGCTTCATGTGTGAGCTCCGTCAGTGGGAGGTTTTGGGAGGCCATGGGAACAGTGACTCACGAAACCTGCCTGCGCCAGAAGGTAGCTTTCCTCGTGGGTGCAGAGACGTCTTGCCAAGTGTTATTTGTGCCTCCCACCCTAAACACAGAGGCCTGCTTAAATTTATTCATTGAGTAAATGATATTAGGAACAAATAATAATAAATAAATAATGATAAAAAGTCCAAGTTGCACCAAAGAGAATCAGCTTGTTGCTGTGTTTATGTTCCTGTCTAGTCTTTTTTTTTTTTTTTTTTTTTAGAGATGGGATCTCGCATGTTGCCCAGGCTGGTCTCAAATTCCTGGACTCAAGTGATCCTCCCACCTTGGCCTCCCAAAGTCCTGGGATTACAGGCGTGAGCCACCGCGCCTGGCCTCTCGCTTTATCCACATGTTTCCCACCTATCCTCCTTAAGGAAGAACAGCTCCCAGGGTGTATTGAAAACCTCCTCACTGTACCCCAGGAATTGATTACCTTCCTGCTTTTACTGGTTAGGAGTTATCTTTTAGGCTGAAATTTAGATGTTTAATATACTAGGTATCATTAAAACCAAAGTAAACATGACTGTTTTTACACTGGAATGGGCGCTGAGATGCTCTGTGCATTTTTTGTGTTTGGTATTTGTTTGTTTTGCTATTTAAATCTGAACATGTCCCTCCTCCTTCCGTGAGTCCCTTCTTTCATCCTTTTACTGTCATTAAACTTGGTCTTCACATCTTTATTTATTTCCTTTTTGCTTCATCTCTCTATATCTACCATTTTTAGTTTTCTTGCTACTTGGGGAAGTATCATGATCAGGCCAAAAAACGTGGAATTATTTTTGCTTTTTTATTTTTTTCTTTTTTAGAAGGAAATGTTATTAACTTCCAGATTTTCCTTAAAGTATAGCCAATAATTCTTTCTACTTTTTAGATAGTCTTTGAAAAGATTTGTCTATCTTTCTCTAGGTCATGTCCCTGGGACTCCTGTCTACAGAGAGAAGGAAGACATGTATGACGAGATTATTGAGTTAAAGAAGGTAGTATTTCGGTTTGTTCTCTATTGATTTGAAACAGTGAAAGCTTCCTATAACAATCTATTAGAACATCAGTGCCTGTGCCAGGAGGTGCCCAGATGGGAAGAGTGGCAGCATTGGGGTTGAACCTGAGTTTGAGCCGTGGCATAGTACCCTAGGAGCTGGTGTTCCTGGTTAAAGGCCGTAGCACCAGCACGTAAAAGGCAGCAGAGCTCATGTTCCGTCTGTGTTCTGCTTCTCCAGCATGATGGGGAAGACTGGATGAGGACTAGATAAACTTCAGAGTCCCCTTGTGTCCTGAGATTGGGTACTGTGATAAGGCCACTGGTAGAGTTATCAGTAACCTTCCATGTATGCCATGCTTTATGTTATCAAGACATCTCATGTGCCCTATCTCAGTTGCCCTCTACAGAAGCTCTGTGGGACAGGCAGGGCCACTTGTTACAACCACTGTCTGCTGATGGACTTGAGACTCAGCGACGTTAGTAGTCTGTCCAAGGTCAACCAGTAGCAGAAGCAAGATTCAAGGTCACCTGCCTCCCAAGGCCAAGACTCTATATTACCCCATGGCCCCTCCCATTCATGAAAGCATGAACTGCATCGAGCTATATCATGATTGTCACTGCCACCAGCACCGTTACCATCCCGCTGGCTCTCAATATCCGTAAATGTTTGCCCTGGAGAAGTCATCTGTGTTCATTTCCTTCCACAATTTTAGTCTGTTTATAGACCTACTGTCTCCACCAGTTGATGTGTGTCTGAGACACTGCGTTCAGCTGGGGCACCAGAGGGCAATAGGGCATTGGCAGCCTCACCCTCAGAGCACAGAAGAGGATCTGGAAGCCGTTTCCCCTGGGGAGCTGGGAAGAAACTGGGGAACCTGGAGTAGGCCATTGTACAAAAGACAGCACCTTCTCTGTTGGCCGTAGAGAACAGTCAGACTTGAGGCTGTGTGAGAACACGCTTGCCACGAGAGCTGTCTGACTGGCCGTGCCGCTGAGGAGCAGGTGCGTGCCCTGGCCTTGGAGATTCTGAGCACAGGCAGCGGCTGCGTGTTGGGGATGTCACGGACGTGATCCTCATTCTGGTTGGAATGAGCTGAATGAACTCGGTGTGGACTGGGGGGTTATCTCATTTGGGATTTTCTCAGCCTCTTGAATCTGTAGGTTTGTCTTTTGTCAGATCTGGGACATTTTCAGCCATCAAGTCTTGAGTTGTTTTTTCAGCCTTGCCCTCTTTGGTGACAGCTGCTCAGGTCCCTGGTCTCTGTTCAGTGTTTTCCCTTCCGTCTTCCTTCATGAAGATTGGGTAGCTTCATTGTTCGGCCCTCCAGCTCACGGATGCTTTCCGCTGGCCTCTGCATCCTGCCGTTGAGCCCATTGTTGGGTGTAACCTTACTGTCTCTGTTCCGTTCTGAAATCTCCATGCGGCCCCTTCTGTCTTGGTCTTCGCTGAGACGCCCGCCCTGCCTCTTCACTTGTTTCAAGCGTGTCTGTCGTCGGTCATTGGCGCATCTTTGTGGCGGCTGCCATAAGTCTGCAGCGGGATTCTAATGTCCAGGCCATCTCAGTGTTGACGTTGTAGCTTGTTTTTCTTCATTCAGGTTGAGCTATTCTTGGTTCTTAGTATAAAAGTGATTTCCTTGAAACCAGGACGCTCGGAGTGTTTCGTCGCGAAACTCTGACTCTTGCTCAATCCTGTGCTGTGGCAGGCCTCCTCTCACGCTGCCCTGTGGGTCAAGGGGGCACCGCCTCACTACCACCCGCGAGGGTGGAGGTCCAGTTCCCACTCAGCCGTCATCAACCCCTGCTCCCGGAGGGGCTCCTCATTCCTGCTGGGCAGGGCGGGAGTTTGGGCCCCTCACTCAGCCTCTGCTGCCGCCCTGGCTGGGAGGGAAGGGCCACCTGTACTGCTTCCGCTCAGCCTTCGCCGATGCAGGGGTGGCCTTGTTGCCGCCAGGCGATGGTGGTCCCGACTCTGCACGGCCTTCTCAGGAGCCCCACCAGTGCAGGAGGGGAGGGGCCTGGGTGAAGCCGGACAAGGGTGAGTGTCCGGGCTCCCCACGTAGCCTGTGGTGTGGGGAGGACTGTGGCGTTTTCCGTGGTCTGCCTAGGGTAGAGCGGCTCCTGCCTGTCAGTTTCTGCCTTGTTGGTCTGTTCCTTTCCTTGACTTCTGGCTGGAGAGAAGAGGCTTTGCGTGGGCTTTTATTGTCTGCACCCACTGGCGTTTTTAGGCTGTTGGCTTCTCCAGCATCCAGCCCAGATGAGGCAGAAAGAAAACTGAAGGAGCTCCCTGCCATGTCGATCGTTGGCCCCCCAAGTCCCGGCCCGTCTGCCACCTCCACCTTTCCAGTCTTAGGTTGCGTTACACATGGAGCGCAGGTGTTGAGTGGAACTGACAGGAGGAGTTGGGAGGGGTGAATCTAGGTCACGCTCCTGGAAGCAGCAGTCCCGTTACTAGAGCTCCCATCTTCCTCCATGGCTGGGCCTTCGCTCATTGACTCCACAGGCTGAGTGCCGGCTTGTCATCATGCCTCCTGAATCTGTGGGTTTGTCTTCAGCGATCTTGCCAGCTGTGGATGTGGCTGAAGTGCCGAGCCACCCCCACGGGGTGCGCACTCCAGATTGTCTTTTGCTCAGAGGTCCAGTCTCTGGAACACCACAGTCTTTTGCAAGAAGGCCGTGTGGGAGGATGGCTGGCGGTTAGATGCAGGCTGAGGCTGGGAGTTGGTGAGCTGTGGCACAGCCCAGCCTACATGCTGTTTCTTTCCTGGACTTTATCTACCACGAAAATAGTAGGAAGAACATAATTTCAAAGTACAGGATAGTTGTAGAGATTGAATAAACTTAGTTTTGTAAGAAATCGACTACATAGGTTTTTTTTTTTTTTTTTTTTTT